GGCGCAGCGAGCCGGTATCTTGCCAGCTGTGTCCCATGGACACAGCGCTTTCCCTGATTAGGGTAACAGCCAATACAATTGGCTGTTTACCCTGCGATCGGCTGTGTCCTATCACAGCCGATCAGAAGTATAAACAAAGAGCTGTCACTTGTTGTCACCACTTCTTCTCCTCACACACGGATCCTGTGTGAGGAGAAGAAGGGGAACCGTGAGTTACAGCTCAGTACAGTGCAGCACATTATAGATTGCCAGAGTGTACCTGTCAAGTGTACCTGTCAGCCCATCACAGTGTACCTGTCAGCCCATCACAGTGTACCTGTCAGCCCACCTGTCAGCCCATCACAGTGTACCTGTCAGCCCATCACGGTGTACCTGTCAGCCCATCAGGGTGTACCTGTCAGCCCATCAGGGTGTACCTGTCAGCGCATCACCAGCCCATCACGGTGTACCTGTCAGCCCATCAGAGTGTACCTGTCAGCGCATCACCAGCCCATCACGGTGTACCTGTCAGCCCATCAGAGTGTACCTGTCAGCCCATCAGAGTGTACCTGTCAGCCCATCAGAGTGTACCTGTCAGCCCATCAGAGTGTACCTGTCAGCGCATCACCAGCCCATCACGGTGTACCTGTCAGCCCATCAGAGTGTACCTGTCAGCCCATCAGAGTGTACCTGTCAGCCCATCAGAGTGTACCTGTCAGCACATTACCAGCCCATCACAGTGTAGCTGTCAGCGCATCACCAGCCCATCACCGTGTACCTGTCATCAGCCCATCACAGTGTCCCTGTAATCAGTCCCTGTCATCACCGTGTACTTGTCAGCAGTCCATCACTGTGTACCTGTCAGCAGCCCATCACCGTGTAGCTGTCAGCAGCCCATCACAGTGTACCTGTCAGTGTACCTGTCAGCGCATCACCAGCCCATCACCGTGTACCTGTCATCAGCCCATCATAGTGTACCTGTCAGCAGCCCATCACAGTGTACCTGTCATCAGTCCATCACAGTGTACCTGTCATCAGTCCATCACAGTGTACCTGTCCGCAGTCCATCACCACGTACCTGTCAGCAGCCCATCACCGCGTACCTGTCAGCGCATACAACTGTGCAGCCTGTCAGTGTGCCTGTCATCAGAGTACCCATAAAAGCCACCATCACTGCAGCCCATCAGTAGTTACCCATTACCCATTACAGTTGCCTGACATACTGCCAACATGTCCAAAAAATATTATTTCTAGTGAGGAGGCTTTCCAAATCCTGAGCATGACGGACGAGAGCAGCGGGGAGCTCTCACCGTCCGATTCCGATTTTGATTACGAGCCAAGAGAAAGCAGTGGATCGGTGACCGAATCGGAAGAGGAAGTAGTCCCTACAAAAAGAGTAAGACGCTCTGAAGAGCAGGCAACAACGAGCAGCGCCAACATACAAGTGCCATTACACACAAATGGTCAGTCAGAAAATACCAACAGAGCTAGACCCCAGGATGACAGGCCCAGTACCAGCACTGGGATATCACGCCAGACCCCAAGAGTCAGGTCCCAAGCTTGCCTCCCAAACTCTCTTTGCAAAAACCCTTTGTGGCTGCCTTCCAACACAGGATCAGCTACAATCCACCCTTTCACCGCACAACCAGGAGTGCAGATCAACACAGAAAATTTTTCCCCAATTGATTTTTTTAATTTATTTTTCCCTGATAGTTTCCTTCAGTCAATTGTCGATCAAACCAACCTATTTGCCCAACAATTTATTGCAGCCAACCCCAATTCGTGTTATGCCCGTCCATTCGAGTGGAGACCGCTAACACTAGAAGAGCTTAGATTGTTTTTGGGCCTTACGGTGAACATGGGGCTTACAAAAAAAAATGTACTACATTCATATTGGTCCACCCACCCCATCCATCACATTCCCATATTTTCATTCGTAATGTCCAGGTCACGTTATGATATGATAATGCGTTTCCTGCATTTCAGTGATAATTCCCAGTGCCCTCCCCGAGATCAGCCAGGCTTTGACAAACTGTACAAAGTTCGCCCCCTAATTATTTTTTTTTCTAGAATATTTTCTGAAGTTTATGTCCCTGACCAAAACATCTGTGTGGACGAATCTCTTATCCACTTTACTGGCCGGCTGGGAATCAAGCAATACATGCCAGTAAGAGGGCCAGGTATGGACTTAAGCTCAACAAGCTGTGTGAAAGTGCCACGGGTTATGTGCATGCCTTTCGCATGTATGAAGGCAAAGACTCCCACCTTCAGCCCCCTGGGTGCCCAACCTACATTGGCATAAGTGGCAAAATTGTCTGGGACCTTGCGTTTCCACTCCTCCAAAAGGGGTATCACATCTATCTTGACAATTATTATACAAGCCTGCCCCTTTTCCGCCACCTGTACCTTGAAAAAACAATGGCCTGCGGTACTGTCCGACCAAACAGGAAGGGCTTCCCACAAAGTTTAATTAGAACGACTCTACAAAAAGGGGAATCTGCAAGTGTTAGGAACGAGGAAGTGCTGGCCGTGAAATGGAGGGATAGGAGAGATGTTTATGTCCTGTCCACAATCCATAATGACATCATGGTGGACATTCATAGAAGACGAGGGGAAGTCCAAAAGCCAGAGTGCATCTTCAATTATAATCAATTCATGGGGGGGTGGATTTAAACGATCGCATGCTGCAGCCATACTTACCAACAAGGAAGACCCTCTACTGGTACAAAAAAAGCTGCAATATACATTTTCCACATGGCAATTTATAATTCATATATAATCTATCAAAAATCAACTGAAAGACCTAGCCACCTCTTCAAATACACTGAAGATGTCATCACTGCCCTAATCTATCAGCAAGGATCTCCACCACAAACCATTCGCTCCGATTGTGTCAGCAGACTGCATGAACGCCATTTCCCTGAGAGAATTCCACCATCAGAAACAGGAAGAAGACGTCGAAAAAACATGTAAGGTATGCAGCAGAAGGGGAATTAGGAAAGACACCAGTGTTCATTGTCCCCAATGTCCCTCCCAACCAGGCCTATGCTTCGAAGACTGCTTCAAACATTATCACACTATAATAAGATATTAGTTCCCCATATTTTCAACAGCCTACAACTTCCCCATTTTTGTTATCTGTGCTGATCTTTTGCCTACTGCCATGATTTATCATGCCTCTGCCTTTCTACCTTAACTGACCCTGGCCTGTTTACCGACAATGCCTCTGCTTGCCGTCTGAATTGCTTCTACACCACATTTCTGCTCTTCACCAAAACTGACCATGGCTTGTTTATCGACTATGCTTCTGCCTGCCGTCTGGATTATCAACCATGTTTATGCCTTTTTCCTGGACTGACCTTGGCCTGTTAAATCGACAATGTTTTTTGCCTGCTGCTTGGATTGATCTTTTGCCCTGCTACTGCAGTGGTGGGATTCAAGATAACACAGGGGTCTCGCATATGTGAGGGGCTTCAGAATAGATAAAAAACAGTTTTTGGTTTTCCGGGTTTTGTTAGTCCCAGAATAGGGTCTGTTGTCCGGAGGCTTCGAAAGATTGGGTGGGACGAAGCCTCTACCCCTGTGCCCCAGTCCTACCTGATCAAGGCCCTAAGCCTGATGTTCCTGTCTGCTGCCTGGACCAATACTTTGGCTGTGCTGACCATATCTCCTCTTGCTACCTGTACTGACCCAAAACTTTCGGGCCATGTTCCTGCCTGCTGCCTGGACCAATATTTTACATGGACCAATACAAACCAATACAAGTTAATCATATCTCTGCTTGCTGCCTGTACAGACCTAGGACTTTTTATGGACCATGTTCCTGCCTGTTGTCTAGGACCAATATTTTGGCTGTGCTGACCATATCTCTGCCTGCTGCCTGGACTGACCTAGGACTTTTTATGGACCATTTTCTTCCTTCTACCTGGATCTCAGCCTGCTGCCTGTTCTGACCCTGGCTTGTTTATCCACTATATTCCTGCCTGCTGCCTGGTCGAATCCTGTTGCTGTTGCCTGCTTCCTGGTCCAATGCTCTCCTAAAACCATAGGTAATCTTTTGCTTATCCTTTCTTTAGCTGTGAAAAAGTTTCAGATTGTGGTATTGTCATGTTCAGGAGGAGTAGTAAAATGTATTTTCAAGTATAGAAGAAATATCCTATAAATTCACAACTTTGTGTAAAAAAAAAAAAATACTTTTTCATTTTTTTTCCACATTTTCTAAAAACTTGTGGAAAAAAATAACATGTTCAAAAAACTCATTATGCCTGATGCCTGACCTTGGGATGTTTGCTTTCCAAAATGGGGTCATTTTGTGGGTGTTTCTACCATCCTGGTGCTCCAGGGCCTTAAAAACTGTGATAGGGAGTCAGGAAATTAGATGTGTAATTTATGCCCCTTTTATGCTCCTAGAATGCATGGAGGTGCTACTTGGATGTTGGGTCTCTGTATGTGGCCAAGCTGCGGAAAAGTCTCACACATGTGGTATCGCCATACTCAGGAGTAGCAGAATGCATTTTGGGGTGCAATTGCAAGTATGTCTATGCCAGGTGTGAGAAATAACTTGTTATTTTGGCAATTTCATATATCTATATTGTACCGCGCTCCAAAATTAATAGATCTAAGTGCTCTAAATAAATAAATAAATATTGTATATAACTAAAAATTCAATAATAATCTATATCCATAATACTTAAATTCATAATTGCATAATACTTGAATCCATGATTGAAGTGAATCAAAAAAATTTCATTAATATTTGTAAATCAATGCATAAAAAACTGCGTGCCTGAAAAACTATTAAAAAGTGAAAAAATATATAATGATATATAATGAAAATATAAAAATAAATAAATAAATAAATTAAAATAAACTGGAAGAAAATTTTGTATGAATTAATAATAGTTCAGTTCATACGAATTGAGATGGTAATGTGAATCAATCTGATTGGCGTGGTAAGTCTATGTTCATGACATGAACCTCTCTCTCCTTCCTCCTCTCCTTTCTCCTCAATTCAGCTTTTCTCAATTAGGACTTTCTCCTCTATCTGCTTGGCTTATTCCATCCATGTCGAGACGTTGCATAATGATGGCTAACTCAACTTCACTAGGCATGTAACCCAACGATCGCATTGCCATGCCAAGCTCTTGTTTTGAAATAAAACCATTCCCATCTCGATCCAACACTTGGAAGGCTTCTCGAATTTCTTCCACATTCGACCCTTGCGGGTCACAGAGCTTTTTATATATATATCTCTGCCAGATATTAATCTCCTCCACTGCCTCCACCAACCTTGATCCTCCTCCAGGCAGTAAGTAACACTCCAATAACTCCCCTCATACAACGAATTCAAGCATCAGGGCAGGCCAGAGAGCTTCCTTCGTGTCCCAGGAGACTCCTGGGACACGAAGGAAGCTCTCTGGCCTGCCCTGATGCTTGAATTCGTTGTATGAGGGGAGTTATTGGAGTGTTACTTACTGCCTGGAGGAGGATCAAGGTCGGTGGAGGCAGTGGAGGAGATTAATATCTGGCAGAGATATATATATATAAAAAGCTCTGTGACCCGCAAGGGTCGAATGTGGAAGAAATTCGAGAAGCCTTCCAAGTGTTGGATCGAGATGGGAATGGTTTTTATTTCAAAACAAGAGCTTGGCATGACAATGCGATCGTTGGGTTACATGCCTAGTGAAGTTGAGTTAGCCATCATTATGCAACGTCTCGACATGGATGGAATAAGCCAAGCAGATAGAGGAGAAAGTCCTAATTGAGAAAAGCTGAATTGAGGAGAAAGGAGAGGAGGAAGGAGAGAGAGGTTCATGTCATGAACATAGACTTACCACGCCAATCAGATTGATTCACATTACCATCTCAATTCGTATGAACTGAACTATTATTAATTCATACAAAATTTTCTTCCAGTTTATTTTAATTTATTTATTTTTTTTTTTATATTTTCATTATATATCATTATATATTTTTTCACTTTTTAATAGTTATTCAGGCACGCAGTTTTTTATGCATTGATTTACAAATATTAATGAAATTTTTTTTGATTCACTTCAATCATGGATTCAAGTATTATGCAATTATGAATTTAAGTATTATGGATATAGATTATTATTGAATTTTTAGTTATATACAATATTTATTTATTTATTTAGAGCACTTAGATCTATTAATTTTGGAGCGCGGTACAATATAGATATATGAAATTAACATCCATACACCTGGAGAGGGTGTAAAAAGTACCTGGCGATCTAAATATTTAATTATTTAATCAAGCACGTCAATTGATTTATTAGTCGTTCACTTTATTTATAAATTCAATATTATTAGTATTTTTATACACTGAATTTATTGCTTTATTAGTAAGAAAACTTCTAGTGGCTCACAAGTATTTCATTAATTTGCATTTTTGTTTATTTTGGCAATTATGCATGAAAAAAAATAAAAATAAATAATTTATTCATTTTTCAAAGAATTGTGGGAAAAAATTACAACTTCAAATAACTCAACATGTCTTTTACTAAATACTTTGGACTGTCTATTTTCCAAAAAGGGGTCTTTTGGGGGCTATTTGTACTTTCCTAGCATGTTAGGGCCTCAAGAAATGAAATAGGCCATCAGTGCTTCATGTGTGATCAATTTGCAATGATTGGTGCCATAGCTTGTAGACTTTATAACTTTCACACAGACTAAATAATATACACCGATTTGTTTTTTTTTTACCAAAGGTATGTAGCAGTATAAATTTTTGCCTAAATTTATGAAGAAAAATTACTTATTTGCAAAATTTTATAATAAAAACAAAGAAAATCTTATTTTTTTTCTAAATTTTCGGTCTTTTTTCGTTTATAGTGCAAAAAATAAAGAACTCAGGGGTGATTAATTACCACCAAAAGAAAGCTCTATTTGTGGGAAAAAAATGATAAAAATTTCATATGGGTACAATGTTGCATGACCGTGCAATTGTCATTCAAAATGTGACAGCACTAAAAGCTGAAAATGGGTCTGGGAAGGAAGCTGTAAAATTGCACGGTATTGAAATGGTTAACTGTTAGGGGTTTGGGGCTCAAGTGGAGAGTTGGGTTCAAGTGGAGAGGATTATTTACAAAAATAGACAAGTCATGTGAAAGAAAAACATTGTGGGGGAAATTTACTAAAACTGGAGCACTAAGAATCTGGGGCAGCCATGGTAGCCAATCATCTTCTAATTTCAGATTTCAGCAGATTTTGCACTCTACAGTTATAGTAAATCTCCCCCTATAATTACCTTTCTGACAGCCTGTGCCTTGTTATACTGTGGTTTCCATGTTCCCCAGCCTCTGCTTTTATTTTACATTTCCACACACATTATTTTCTCCAGAAAGTCTATATGTCACTACAGGAGATATGAGCCAGCAGGAGGGCCATTGCATATGGCAGGGGGTACAGGTATTTGACCTATTTGACCTGTTAAATGCCTGCAGTGGCTGGAAATCAATGAAATGGTGGCCTTTTAGGGCAAGGCCTACTGAAAAAGTAAGTAAGTTTTTTTGCAGGGCTGATCTTTTTGTAAGTGACCCTGTGGTGACAGGGTATTTTAAGAGTTTAAGAGACCGTATTACCTTAAAAAAGAAAACTGATGCATAGAATACAGTTATAATACTTACCTTTACCTTTAAGTCAGTACGATGTCCTTACAGCTCTGCAGGGACTCATGAGTTCATAAAAACAACAGGGTAGGGGACCATCTATTGTTTATAATGGTACCATAGGAGATAGAAGAAACCATTTATAGCAAAATACAACGATAAAATGAATGTATGGCAGCTGTTTTACTTGCCATAAGATGTATCTCTGTTCGTTCAGGTAACGAGAGTTACAGATCTCTGCCACACCACATAGTCCCATCTATTAGAGAAGGTGACCTGGTTTTCCCCTACTGCAGTTCAGTAACGCTTACAGTTCTCATTCACACCTGCACAATATGACTGGACAGTAAAAAGAGAAGCATCAGATGCTGAAGAAGCATTTGAGGAGTCCTGCCCTCTGCTCTCTCCGCCTTTCATCATGCTCCCTACACTGCTTCTCCTCCTCCCTGTCCAAACATTATTGTACATATTGCAAGACCCTGATAATATTTGAATATTCAGATACTTAATTGCTTACATAAAAAATCCCATTTAGGTATATGTAAATGAATGCAGAACTGCATTAATTTTTATCATTTATTTCTGCTTGGAGTTTTGTTTTAAATAAATGCTTACAAATATAATCAATAGGACCACAAGATTAATTTAAGTGTATGTTATTAGCATGGACCAATTTAAAAACTAAATTGACAGTGCACTTTGGCAAATAAGCATCCAATGATCACTGTCACTTATGTTTATGGAAATTAAATAAATTATTCAGCATCCTACTGACTTCATATTTTACATCTGATTAATTTCCAGTAATGTTTAATTACAATACAAATCACTTTAGAATAATAAAAAAAAATCAATAACAAATACCCCCACAGCTATCTAAATTGCTTAATGACGCATTTGATTAATTTTGATTACTTAGCTACTGTACATCTAAAATATGTAAGACTGGACACCTCACACATATTTGAATGTACCAAAAATGTAATTAAAAGTAAGATGACCCATTCTCTACTATAATGAACATATGTTAGAAAACAGAAATGAAAAATGACTTGATCCATCCAAAGGATTTTTTGAGCACAAAATAAATTATGGTCAATTGACTGAACTTTTCTGATGTGTAAATTGAATCATTCCTACACACTAGGGTTTCATAATTAAAAAGCACTTTTCACTGTGGGAAATTTTACTGAATTTCATATTAAAAGAAAAAACAAACCATCAATCAGGAGGAGGTAGAGTTTCTCAAAGAGCTCAACCCATTAAACTTGAACAGTACAGGCAAATGGTGACTGATTTGCTTCAGGAAACTGTAAATCTTTTAAGACTTAGTGCTGTACAAACATTAATGAGCAGATTGCTTATGTGATATTCTGCTCTAAAAAACTGTTTGTAGATTTGTCAGCAGAACATATTTCTAAATTATAGAAGAAAGGCGGTAAGTGAAATAATAATACTTTAAAAGAATTTGCTGTAAAAGAAATACATCTACTGTTATCTCAGACCACTTTCTAAACATTCTAGTTGCCTGATCATCAGACAGTGACTTATTGTCTCAAATCAAATATGTAGCTTGCCTGCTTGACTATTCCAACTGCATGCCTGTTACTTTTAACTCAGTAAATGCTGAAACCAAAGTATGACAGTCAGGGCATTAGTATTTTCAGAGGGGCAGCACTACAGTATGCTGCATCATATGTTTCTAATAGAAATGTATTTACTAGAAGATTGTACTATGGTTACTAGCACGAGTACAGCAAAAATACAACAAACACAGAACTTGAGAAGCACAAACAAGGTAAAACAACAAGAATCATTTCAAAACAGGAAAGTAACAATACTCACAATAAATATAAGAAAAGAAATACATTAAAATTATTAGTAAAATTCATTTGGTTCAAAGTCTAGCATTTTTAGTAAGTAAACACAAATTTGCTGTCACAATTAGAAATTGGACCCCATCACCAAATGGAACAGCATGCTATGGTCAGATCTCAGGAATGCTGGGGGCAATGTAAGTCAAGAACCAAATATAAATTAAGGTGTTCCATAATTTGTTGGACTTTGGAGTAAACATGACCAAATCTATTGCAATGTTTATTAAACTACCCTTTTGTTGTTTAGAACACTTTAAATTTGTCTGGTCCACTCATGCTCTCTCACATCGGGTGTTTTCATATAACATCTATAGTATAATACCTATATCAACATATAGGTGACCTTTAGGAACAAAAGCTTGCTCAAACTTTGGTCTTCTTACCACATAACTTTTCTGAGTAGAGTTATATGCATTGAAATGTCTGTGTTCCCAATTATTTTATTCTTTTTTTAAGCCTTATCAATATTTGTATCTAAATTTACTATAGGCTATCTACTAAAAGAGATTAGCAAATTAATTTGACTAAACAATAAACCCAGCTACAACAAATCTTTTAAACAGACCCCTAAGATCTGGCAGCCATGGCCTCCCTAATTTGTGGCTATATTACCTTGATGACAGATTG